TCACATACTCTGCCACATCCAACCGATATATTTACAGACAAGAAAACCAAAATCAACAACACAACTACTGCCAACAAAAACTTCGATACAATTAAGTGATGTTACAGTAAAATTCTATGTTTTCTGAAAACCAAAACTGAAGAAAGAAGAAGAAACTGTTAGATAGACTGATATTATACTATCTAGCTCTCTATACTATCGAGCTAGCTCTCTGCAATTTCGACTCACTTTATCTCGAAACAGTGAACATTTTCTCGGGGTTCTTTCGTATATGACATGCACGCAGAAGAAACAAACATATCATTTCAGATGATTTTTTTGTCGGGATACTTTGGAAGACTCACATGATGCCATTTTTAAGATGGATGTGTAGATTTCTAGAAAAAATATGCACCTGATCCATTTATGAGAACGACGGCATATCGAAAATATTTTAACATCATCATTGGAATCAGAGGGAGATTGAAGGGGCAAGCGAGCAAGAGAGTTATTTTATTTTAAGTTTTTCATTCGTTGTGATCAATATTTAATGAAATAAAAGTATGAACGAGCATTACGACCTAACAAGGAATCGAAATAAATCCATTTTTTGTGTGCGCTCCATCCATGTGCTACTGCATCTCTACATATCTCAGTTTTTATGTCTGTTGTCTTCTTTATTCTCTTGGTTGTTCTAACATACATATCATTAATGTGTGTGTGTATAATACACTCACAAACGAAATGTGCATGACGAGATATGTTTCGTACATAATATATTCATCACCGACACACATACATCACATTTAATATATAATCTACACGGGTAGAGCGAGCGCAACAATTTCAAATGTTCGAGTATTTGAAGTTGCATGTGTGCAGGTCAAGTGATATTCTACAAAAATGTTAAACTTGAATGATTTCGATAAAATAGTTCTCTCTCTCTCTCTCTCTCTCTTATGTACTGTGTGGCAAATCATTCTCTAATACTTAATCTTTTTATTGCCGATTAAATGATACTAATTACGAATAGAATAAAATATCATTGATTTTATGATTTTGAAATGTTTGTTGTATTTAATTAAAATATTCGTCAATCGTTAGAATGTAATTCCGCTATGCACACCTTATGCTCGAACGATTAAATTTTAATTAGTTCATCATTTAATGAAAAATAACCAAATCTTACCTATAGAAAGCGAGCAAATCCAATACAAAATAATGTCTAAATGAATCGATGTATTGTTATCTCAGCAACACGCTCACAATATAACCTGGCTACAAACAGGTATAAATATATAGATGGCTAGACTCAAAAATGACTGAATTTTAACATTAAACCGTGACTGCTAATTACCTTAGACACTGAATGAAATGTTAGTTTTATCACACACCAAACTGAAATTAATACAACAGCAAATCTATTTTTTTAAAAATGCATGTTGTTGGCTGTGTTTGGCGAATGATTGAAAAAAATGTAAGTATTCATTTGTTAATTTCCAAGTTCCATTATTTGAATCAATGTTAGTGACAGAATCGGGTTATCTTTACAAAGTAACAATAAATGTACACGAATATTTTCGATATATTATTAAAGGAAAACATTGTTTGAATTTTCCAATGAGCTAATATATAGTTAAGAATTGGCTGTGGTCATTCAATGTGTACTAATTTCAAGTGGTTGATGCACGATGCACCACATAAATTTGTATATCGTCATGTTCATCATTTTATAAACAAACCGTTTAAAAATTGACCTTTAATATATGCACATGTATGGAAGCTCAAACAATCAATTTCAAGTTTGATGATAACATATTGTACATGGAGTTAGATGCGCGCAATATATACACCTAAAATCTCTGATCGAGTTGTAATGTTTGCCAAGTAAAATTAAGTGCTTTCCTCGCAAAAACAGTCAATTATTTTGTCAAGTGCTTGTTTGATGTCAAGACATCTTAATTAACAACCAACTACCAGCATAAGTAGTTTTAGACCATCAACAAAGAGCAACATGTGCACACAGTACAACATGGAAAATGGCAATTCCAGCAAACAAAATGGAATTTTGTGGTGTTTAAATCCACTTACCTCCCTCTTATGGCCCATCATGTCTCCCTGTAATTCAGCAGTTTCATTTCAAAGAAGTTTTTTGTGTTTTACAAATACATTGGAATTTATTTGGTATTCGTCACATAGCCAAAAAATTCAACGTTTCACAAATAATAATTAAACTGGCAGTTGCAGTATGATAATATAAAGATGAATGATTTAAACCATTTTGAGGTTCATATTAAATTATATGTATGTCAATGAATGAGTTTTTTTCTCTCCGTATCACATAGAACGTTACATGGATCAGTGAAAAGACTTAAATTTTATGAAAATACGGAATTTCAGATTTAAATGTGTGATCAGTTTGATGTGCAAAATAAAAATGAATATCAATGTCTCCAAAGAGACTGAATCATTTTGGCACTTGGTGCCCAATCAGTACGTCAAATTTAAATAATACTTAATGCGAAGTAAATGTATGTACGTATGTAAAACCAAGCTCATGTCATCGTTCCATCTTGCACGACCATTGGTGTTGAGGTATTTCACACAGTTTTGTGTGAGTTTTCGTCTTTTAGCTTGCTTCTTTGGGTCACGATACGATACGTTCCGTAGTTCCGTTCTCAGCTGTTGTGTCAACGACGCCTTTGAATTGTACGCAATGGTCGCTACCTCGATCGACCGGCTCTGTCTCTCAACATTCAATCGCCGACCAAATCGTTATCGTTGTGCATCGTTGGCATCTGCATTGAATTTTATATCGTTCAAGTAAACACTTTCGACGATATTTGCTCGATCGATCCAATTCGTCGTCTTGCAAATAGGATATGGTAATCTCCTCGCCTTTTTCAATCGGCCGAATTGTAACTGCCACAGTTTTACGATCTGATGTGACTAGAACTGCGTTCGGTTTGCAACTATGACCAAAGAAACCACCGACTATTGCATAAATGGTTGTTCCACAATTGTGACCAATGTCGCTATTATTTGCAGCATATTGCAGTGCACATATGTGATGTCCAATCAAATGCATTAAAAATCTTTCGTGTGCTTTCGTTCTAAATAACTCTTCAAAATCATCGTTGTCCATGAAACCATCGAAAATGCGCTTTATATAACGCAAATAGATTTTTTTTGTGTACAAAATAAATGGATCATTCAAATGTTCGCTTCGATATCAAGTCACACTTACCCTTTTTCTTGGGCCATTGCCATTTCAGTCCATTTTCCAAGAACACGGTATACCTTGATAGATCCGTTGAAACAGAATCCAATGCAGTGCCTTCGCCAGATACAATGCGATCAACATGCTTAATTAATTCACTCAAATTCGGTATGCAATGCAATGCCATCAGAATTGATCGAACAACCAAGCCCAAATTGACATCGTCATGTTTCACCCGCAAATCCATTGCGCACTCGATTTGATGTAGTTCACTTTTTTCGCATGATCCAGCACACAATAAGGAATCGGTGCAATTTTCACATGGAATCAAATTCGTCATTGTTTTCAAGCAAATTGTGCATCGTTTGTATTTTTCACTTGTTGTCCAAACGAATTGAAGATGGATTTCGAGCACCGTTTGACCTACACCAATGTCATGGGTTGCAATAATGCAACGTTCACGATGCTGTTCATCGTCGTCGGTTTTTCTATTTTCGATTCGAAAAACATTTGCTGTGCACGGACATTGTTCGTTGGCATCAAAACTGAGCTGCGGTTCGTGCATTTCATGTTGGTCGTCAGGCAATGATAGTTTTAGCATCTTTTTGCATTCATCACTCCATTTTTTCAAACGTGGCAAAAAATTCGACGGACAATTGTTTGCTCTGGCCAATTTGATGTCGACAAGACATTGGTCGTACATTTTCAAATTGAGAAAACATGCCGCTCGTTCTGCATACCCACAACCCATTGGTTCGGTTCCATGCTTGGTGAAACACAGCGCTTCATTGATCAATTCAATGGCATTCGTCCAATTTTTTGCTTCCGATTCAATCATTCCTTTATACCGAAACCAAAAACATATATAAACATATTCAGTACAGAAAAATATCAAGTTTTTTTCTCGATAAAACCTCGTTTTTAAGTCGTTAGATAGAAATTGTAATAAATGACAAGAAACAAAAATAAAATAACATTGAAAATGCATTATAATTTTTTTAAATGAGAGAAAAAGAGAAGCGAATAAACATGGGAAAAACATTGCACTTAAATAAATTGTCTATACCTAATCCGAAATGGTTTTGTCACATGAAAGAAATAAAGAAAGTAAAAAAAAGCTAATAATTATTGGAGCAAATCTAATAACGAAAGAACAATTAAATATGTATTTTTCTCATCCTATCATTACTGGACAACCCCGAAAACAACTTTGACTTCTAAGAATGTTTGTATAATATTGTATACTTTTGAACGATTGTGTTCTCTTAGTCTCTTTTAACTTGAAATTTCCAGTGAATATCAATCTGCTTTTGGCAAATATAATCTGATAACATACACATGTTCATTATCGTAATCTTTTCCATAGAAAAATTAATTTTTCAAATAACAACATTCATTAATGACGATTCCGTTACTCTGGTCAAAAGTACTATGGCTCAAATTAATTTAATTAAATCAATGATAAGTTTTTTTCTTTTGTACATATACATTTTATTTAATAATGTAGATAAACACAATTTTCATATATCCTTGGTGCTTTTTGAGTCCGATTACATTTTTTTCTCCCAAGATCCAGATTCAACCATTTTTTTAAGTTTGGTCCAAATCTGAAAAATAAAATATTTCCGAAGAAATTTCATTTGAACAATCGTTTCAACCAAAATAAAAGCAAGATATTTGCGGAGAATCGATAAAAACAACGGCTATAAAATATAATAATAGATAATAAAAAGCAAAACCAATAATAATCGAAAAAGGGATAACAATAAATTTTATTTTTGAAAATAATTCATCGCAAACAAATAATAATAATTTCAAAGGTGCTTACGCAAAAAATAACGAACATTCATTTTAAATTTTGTTCAACTAGATTCAACTACATCAAATCAATATCAGTCTCTTTTCATAATATAACAGAAACATAACAATTTAATGGTTTCAAATCAACGGAATACATGGACACAAGTTAGTGCAGTTTCTTTGGCAAATCGGCTTAGTTTTCGTGTACAGGTAACGAAAAACAATAATAAAAATGACAACAATTATACAAATCAAATACCAAGGCAACTCAAAGATGATACAAATTATTAGAATAGCAAAGAAGAGTAAAAAAAAAGATGAACATTTAATAACATTACATATAACCTTTGGGCGAAAAAGCCACCATCCTTCAATCGATCGAATCGAGATATTGGCGCTTTCTGGTTGGCCGGTATTTGCAGTTAGTCGTTCCAATCGGCCGGTAATTGTAGTTAGTTGTTCCATTACACGTTGTTGGAATGCATCACTTTCTGGTTGGCCGGTAATTGTAGTTAGTTGTTCCAATCGGCCGGTAATTGTAGTTAGTTGTTCCATTACACGTTGTTGGAATGCATCACTTTCTGGTTGGCCGGTAATTGCAGTTAGTAGTTCCATTACACGTTGTTGGAATGCATCACCATCGGCAGTCACAAGCTAAAATCAGAAAAAAAAAAAAAAAAAAACAAACACAAACGGAGCATTGTTCAGACCATCAAATTAAATCCATGATTACGGCACGGAAATTGAATTTTGCATTTTATCAACATACCCATAATATAACACGACCATTGAAGACAGGCAACTTGGTCGATTCATCGACAATTTCCTCTTTTACCACCCTTTACAAAAACAAAAATCAAACATAGACATATGAAATTATATTCAGAGCACAAAAATGAATTGAATGAAAAATGATTTCAATTGAACTCACCCGAAATCATCGTTAACTGCTTTAAAAAAGTACTTATAATTACAGCTTTGTTTGTTTAAAACCATTTTAAAATCCCGTAGAGTGACTTGTGACGTTGACAACGGAATTTTGACTAAGTATGGTGTTTGCTCATCGTCAATGTAATAGAAAACGTTTGTTTCTTCCATTGTGTTTTTTTTGTGTGTGTGTAAGAGTAAATTTTGTCGAATCGATTTTACGCACGCATTAAATTTATATTACAAAATAAAGAGCAGCAGATGATGAGAATCAAGTTTGAGATATAAAGTCTGAAACGAAAATGAGAGAAGAAAAGAAAAATAAATATTTTTTAAAAAGAAAAATAAGCTTGAGAAATCATCTCAATGAATTCAAAGAATCTTTGAAAAATTGAAAAGTTATTGAAATAACATGAAACGAGCGATTAAGTGAAGTGAAGACGTAATAAAATCATTCAAAGCAACGTCTTGCCCATTTATCATGGTTCGATGAGTTTTCAATTGAAAAATCAATAAAAAATATGCCGGTCGAATGTGAATGAACAAGTAAGGGTTGATGGGTTCATCGTTTGCAAACTATAGACAATTGCAACTGAGACGCAGCTTGTAACACATTTCACAACAATCAACATCAATTCAAGGCTCAGTGCATATATTATCACACTCAATTGGAAGTGAGCATTGGATGTAATTTGTTGACGAAATTTTGTGCCGATCAATGCGCACACACAAACATCAAACAGCAAACATTTCATTTGAAAAAGCATCTTGTTATACGAATTGCTTAGAGAATGCGTTTTATATTTTAAGTATTATAATTTCATGTCTCGAAGCTACTTATTGTTGTTGTTGTATTTTTTTGGTCTATCATTTGTATACGTGCGAGGCGAACACACCCCGGCAAAAATGTGTGTGGTTAAAATATTACACGCGCGTAGAGCAACGTCGTCATCGTCGACGTCGTCTAGATCATATATTCAACGTCCATTTGTTTGCACGGATTCTCAAATATATGTAATATACCGACATGCGTTTTATTTTATTTTATAGCATTTTTTTTTATTCGTTCTCTTGTCTTCCTTTTTCGGCTGTGCAATGTCCCTGTTGTTCATATCTCGCGCGCGCATTCAGCGTACAGTACATCCATGCATTACACGCATTGCATGTGTACACACAATGTTTTTTTTTCATTTCTCTTTCTTGAATTCCACACACTCTGGCGCATAACCAAATCGTATTGTTCTTATAGTTTGGCTCTGTGTCTCTCTGGTTCAGTCATTCTATTTATAACGTCATTATTATTTATACTGTCTTCTTCGTATTGTTTCATTTGGAGTTGTTCATATATATATAATTTTTTTTTTCGTTAATGTATCATGTGGTCGAGAAAACAGTATGTACAATTGTACATGCCTCCATTGCACTTGTACTCTCCTCTCACTTTTATTTAGGTGCCCATATTTTTCGAATTGATGTTTTGATTTTTTATTTTGTGCTTTGTTGATTTTGTGTTGATTTACATAAAGAGCGGAGGGAAGAAAATAAATCGAAAAACAACCAATGCATTTAAGCTATTGAGTTTCTAATGGATATGCACAAATGTATCAAAAACATTCGAATGAGCTCGTTATTTATTCACTGAACGAAAGTGAGATAAGTATGTGTAATTAATTATTTATAATAATTTATGGCATGTGTTGGGCAATCAAAAGGGGG